GTCCTACAAGACCTATACATGTAATCCCTAAAACAATGTGACAAATATTTTTTGCTTATCTTTTTTCAGATGCCAAAAGTCAAAGTATACTTGTTCTTCATGATCAACAACAATATACTAACCAGAATTAAAAAATTAAACAACATTGTACCAAATTAAAAAAGCTATAAAATGTTTATATTCAGTTAGAGCCAGTTTGTTATTCTTAAACATCTTTTTAAAATTTGTTAATTTAACCTACAACTTTTAATACCTTTCTCGATAACGGATATTTAATTTAAGAAAAGCTAGGAAATTATTAAATGTTTGCAATTTTATTAAGTGTTTAATTCTCTTTAATTTCTTGTAAGAAATTTAGTACATAAAATATGTTCTCCTTCTTTGAAATAACATCAATGTTTCACGAGAGTTTCACATATGAAAATGTGATCAAAGTGATAAATTATCTATTATTCATGACTGGTAGTTTAAATATTAGTTAAACATGATTTTAAACACACTGCTCGCTCCACTACTTGTAGTGACACTATTATAGTCTTCTAATATATAGTGAAACTATTATAGCCACTTCCAACTACTGCATTTAATTGCAACAGAAGAATATTGTGATGTAATTTTTCAATCAATCAACAATATGCAATTAAATTAGGTTTAATTTAACAAATTAAGTTTAATGCAGAGGGAAAATTATTTTTAATATAAAAGATCATAGACACCCTAAAGTATTTCTTTCTTACATTTTGCCCTTTTCTCATAAAAAATATTACTTTTACAAAAATTTGACCTTATTTTAACAAATCACTATAATTTTCTAAAAATTCCAAGCTTTTTTCACAAATTTCTAACAGGATCTTAATAAGAAATAATAACAGAATCTTAATAAGAAATCCAGAATTGGCCTTTGATGATATCCCAATCAGTAGAATATATTAACTTTCCTTCTTTCAATAAATATTCAACTTTTATAACTTAACATTAAATTTTGAACTAAAGGTGGTGCATGATCTGGTTGCTTTCCAGCAAATCAAACAAATTTTTCATTGTTATTCCATAGAGAAGCAGTGGATACCAGATATTTTCTTACAAGTTTTCTCTCGCAAATTTAAACTCATGTTAGCGAAAACTGAGTTTATAAACTGAGCAAAATTTTTTCAAATGAGGTAAAAGTTTCACCTTCGATTAGCATCATCACCTCCAACACTATACTGCAAATTTAATGAGTTGCGATCTGCACTCCAAACAAATCCATTGCTTGTATTTCCACAATTCTGATATTCGTTTGCCTTGAATTTTGCAACTTGACAAACCTAGTTGAGAAAAAAAAAAAATAAAAAAAAAATTATGTATCAAATATAGATAAGAACTTACACACATATTCATGGCTGACACCAGCCCAACACTAAACTCACAGTTAAGAAGAAAAATTGATCACAAGAGAAGAAGTGATTTCTTAATTTTCTGCACTCTCCTGTTTTTTAACTACACATTATTGGACCAGCTGTTAACTTGTACTCCGGTAGTCAATTTATAGCCTTATTAACAGTAGGCATTTGTTGTTATTTTTAAAAAAATTTTGTATGGAAGAAATAGATTATGCGATTAGAGTGATTAAATTTGTATTCGTTTGCTGGCTAAGTGATAAAATGTAAAGTTTCGTTTTTCAAACTGACTTGTATTGATAAGAAAAAGGATCTGAGTTTTATTACTATGTATTTATAATAATAAAATATAAAATAAATTTTTCAACTGAACTCACAAAGAACTACACAAACATAGAAATATTACTGAAGTTTAAATAGAAATAGTTTAATTTCACACCATCATTTAATGCTTATATTTTACAAAATCATCAAGGGGATTAGGTTAACATCATTCTCATTTAAATTTTTTTCTCATAACATATTAATAAAGAAGAATTTTTTTATTTTTTAATAAATTAAATTGTATAAAATAAACTTCACCAGATTAGTGTTAATCAACACATTCGTATTACACAAAGGAAATGATAAAGATTTTTAATATGCTGCCATCTGCTAATAACAGAGAGAATTACCGACGAGAATAAGGTGAATATGATAAAGCAATCTTCTTTTTTTAAGGAAAATGACATAATCTAAAAAAATAGTTCAAAAATTTTAAAATTATAGAAAAAAACATACACCAAAAATGTAATTATTTAAACAGTCATAATGGGAAATATATCAGTTGTACATGCAACAGATTTCATAAAGGCTTCATATAGTTTCAAGCAATTATTCTCCCCCAATTGATTATATATTTTCTAAATGTTCAACGAATTGTTTTACGATTATAATATTTAAAATTTCTATATTAACGGGATGCAGAAAATTGTTTAGTTTGAATGTTATTTTAGATCAAAATTAGTATTGATTACAGAATACTTGTTTCAGTATAATTTAAAATATATTATTAATATAGAATATGTAAGTTTTTAATTTTCTTTATTATTATTAAAAGTTTTATTTTATGGATAAGATAAATTTAAATGCCCTTCATTATCTTCATATCTAAGTTGCACATTATTTTGAATGTTCATAAACGATTTTTTTATTTATTGGGCAGGACCCATTAATTCGATAATAAACTTATATTAGTAATCATTTAATAAATTATATTCTTCATTTTTTACATTTTATATTTTTCAAGCATTGATTACTTTTCTACTTTTTTTTAAATAAATAAAAAAAAGGTTGTTAAATTATTTAGAATCTTATTTCTTAAAATTATAATTAGACAATTCATTTGAAAAAAAAAAGAAGAAGCTTTTCTAAGGTGTTGTTGTGGCCAGGCCACACTCTGCATTATCCATGATTTTTTTTTTCTTTCCCTGAGAGTAAAATTATTTAAATGCAGCAAACTACTGATGATAATAATTTGGAAAATAAAGAAGATACTAGCTCAGGAAAACTTTAATTTTGATTTCAACTTTTAATAAAATCAAAATAAGCTCATCATTCATAAATTAACTATTTTTATTGCTCATGTTTTTTGGTTTTTCATACATGAGTAAATTTCTTAAACTTTTGAAGATGGAGAAATCTTGAACTATATTTTTCAAGAGGAAGATATTTCTCTGATTGATATTTTGTTATATAATAAATTCTAACAAAGAATTGAATTTGTAATGAACAATGATATAATATTGAAAATAAAAATAGGTCTAACTACTGCAAATAATGCCTGATGAAACTTTTTAAATTTCAAGTAGAGTCAAGAAAGACAAAAGTTCTTTTATACAAATCCTTCATCAGTGATACATTAGCATATGTAGTGGAAAAATGAACTGTAGTCAAAAAAGTGGAAAATATATTTTGTAAGATCTTGAGGGCTATCTTTAAAGGAGTAAAGATTAGGGGTGCGCCACACATCTTTATCAGGGGTCTGTCTAGGTTTTTCTGAGAGGCACCTATTTTGTGTACATCAAGAAATCAACACACAAAAATAAAATTTTAAGAAAAAGTATTTTGTGAAACTACCGTTTTTCCTAAGGTTGAATTTGTGAAGGTACCGCCAAACGGTAGTAAATTTGGCTTCTACAGACCCCTGTTTATGTTCAATACGTGAGATTAAGTTATGTCAATTTCGAATCATATAAAATCTATTGAGATCAAGCTTATAAAAATAAGTGAACTTAAGTGGAATGCTATATTTAAATGCACTAAATATATGACATTGACAACTGCACTAAAATTGAACAATAGATTTTTAAAGCTAGACCATTTGTGACACGACAAAGAGGGAGACCTTGATGTGTTGATGATATTGTAAATAACTACCTTATTCTACGTATTTAAAATTAGTGAACAGTTGCATCAAGAAGATATGGGTGTCACAGGGGTCAATTTTAAGGACACAACCACATTAAAATACACAACCACAATAATTCTCTATCATTAAAAATTTTCTTATGCTAAATATTCAAAAGAAATTATATATTTTTATATTTTTCTTGTTTGTAACTTTGAAAATTTTTCTTGCTTGTTAGAAATATTTGGGGGGGGGGCTTTAAAAATTTATATTTATTGAGGGGAAAACATGGCTATTTGCCCTGCCAAACAAGGCCATGCCTAAAGAGTTCTAATTAAGAAACACTTGGCCTAACCTAGGCTGTTGAGCCAGGGATAATGATTGCTAACTAATATTTATATTTCATGCCCCATGCCCATTCTGTTCTGTAGATTCCATTTTTTGTGAATTTTTCCCATATTTATGTAAACATAAACTTTAATTTCAAAATGATATCTGCTTGTTTTCTTTCCCCCCCCCCTCTCTGTTATTATCCTATAAAAAAATTCTTGAATATAAAGCAGGGTTCGTTGATTTAAATCAGCTTGATTTAAATCATGATTTAAATCAAATGATTTTTTTTAAAAAAATCATTGATTTAAATCAATTAATTTTTTTTATCGATATATATATTGATTTTAAAAGTNCTGATATAAAGTAGGTATTTAATTCTTATATTTAAATGTCCCCCCCCCTTCTTCTTTGGTCTGTAACTCTAATGCCCAAATTCACAATGTAAACTTACCCTAGGTCACAAATTAAAACATGTTTTACAAGAGCAACACAAGGCTAGATTCCAAAATTTCAACTCACTATGTAGGTAACTGCAAGTCATTTGGACCCAGAGTTCACTAACTTTAACCAGAAGATGTCCCCGGTTAGAGTAACCGCAGATGGGCAGTATGCAAGTTTTTATTTATTTACATTTTCAAAAATAACACTTTTCATGCTCGTCTGCTTTTGTTTTGGGTCCAATGGGGTCAATTCATCGATAGATATAACTATGATTAATTTATATCAAATAAGTGCCCATGAATCAAACTTCATTACAAAATTTTAAAATAAGTTCTAGGTAATAAAAGAAAGATAATAGCAAACTGATTATACTTACAGCTACATTAGTACACGCACCGCCAAGAGTGAAAGGAAAACAGGGATTATAGTAATATGTATAATTTTTATCATTTACAGGCGTCATATTTTTAAACCTAAAACAGGAAACTATAGGTTAATAGTCATATGCACTTGTTAGAAATTGGATATTTTGAACACACAAAAATCAGGACAAAAAGTTAAAAACCAAGAAAAATAAAAACACAACGTTTATCAGGAATATCAAGGCAACTATGAATTTCATTGGGATAAACCTTTTTAATAAGTTGCAGTAAGTCTGTAGTTGTGTTAAAGTTATTTCTTTCAATTTAGTTCTGATTGGTTAGTATATTCATCTTATCACTTGCGTGCATTAGTTAATAAAAGATTTGTAAAATGTTTAACTTTAAAGATAGTACTTTAGTAAACATTTTAATACAAAATTGCTTAAAATAACAAAAAAATAGACATGAATTTCCTTTTTATTTTACTTCTTAATCTTATTGTATTTTTAAAATTAAAAGTCAGTATTATTTCATATAGAACAGTTTGCGATAGTGAAAACTTTTTCTGCGAATATGTGTTTTTGTTAAGATGGGATTAGCAAAAAAAAAAAAAAAAAAAAAAAAAAAAAAAAAAAAAAAAAAAAAAAANAAAAAAAAAATTCGACTACTAAATATTTATCATTGAAACAACATTATTTTAAAATCCATTTAAAAAGGTATTATTTAGCTCACAAGCAAAAAATATAAGTTTATTTAAAAAAGTGTTATCAATTAGGTTAATTAGTTTCAAATATTACCGAGCTTCATGATGATAGCCTAAACTAGTCAGATCTATGACACTTCCGTTTGTAAATTTACATTTGCAATTACTCATTTGAGAACATTCTTGGCCAGCAACCACATTGAATAAAACAAAAATAATAATAACTGAATACATGATAATTGCTTTTGATGCGGTAATGAAATAGTAAGAATTAAATTTATTAAAAGTACTCATTCTGTTCACATTCTATTTGTTTACATTCAAAAGCGCAACTTTCGAAACAGGTGCGGTTAAACAGGTTTGGTAATAAACACGTGATTATTATTAATTTTTTCCTTTAATTTTTTAACGGCAATTTTTAAAACTCAAATATTTTTTATTCGACTTACTAATATTCACTATGAATTAAGTAATCTATATAAAACTAATATTTATGCAAAAAATAATTTTGATGATTCATTTCATTACGACTTTTTGATTGTAACCATGCTTGCTTACACAAACAACAACAAAACGAATTGTTGACGTTAGCAACGGCAGGTGAATAAATTGACATATGCAACACGTGTTGTGATTTAATAATTAGTGAACTAATTGATCAGAAACCTGTCATCACCTTATTAATTTATTGCATATAAAATGATATACGTTCTAAAAAATAATTCACGAATAATTTATTTAAATGGCTTTCACTAGACTAATGCGAAGACGACGAACCGCTATTTTAAAACTAATTGCACTTTTAGCGGCTATAAGTTGTGCATGTTATTGGCTTTATAAACTAAAAATTGAAAATATTACACAATCTCCAACGAATCATGAACATTCTAGTTATTATTCCACTTCTGTGAAATTCGTGCCAACATTTGGCAGACCTGTAAGACATACGCACAAAAATATCTCAACTTCTTCAGTAGTTTTACCGAAACTTACAACATCCAGTTTCCGAAATCCAGCTTTGCTTCATAAATTACAAGCCAAGGCGCCTATCCAAAATCGAAATAAAAAGAATAAATCGGCTAATTTTCAAGACCAAAATCAAAATGACGGGCATTTACGTTATAGTATACCTGAAATGAAAGTGACTCCTGGACTTGGGGAGAGGGGTGAACCCATTCACCTGTCCCCTGAAGAGGAAAAACTGGCTGATGCCCGTTTCTCAGAAGCTGCTTTTAACGTTTATTTAAGTGAAAGAATTGCATTAAATAGAAGTGTTCCTGATCCAAGGAATCCAAAGTAAAATTCATGCTCATAATAAATTGTAATGTAAATGGGAAATGCCAAAAAAAGGTGACAACTGGGCAATGACAGAAAAGAAATGGAACAAAAATCGTAGAAAGGGACAGATCACTGTGTTTAACTCATATTTATGCTAAACAGAGTATTACATATTATAAATTTTTTTTTTGTAAACGCAAAAATCTTTTGAGAAGGGTAGTTAGAGCAAACAGATACAGGTGTGAAAGGACTCCAGACTATTAATATCACGTAGTTGAAAGCAGAGTTTAGGATGTTTCAATATCAAAACCTAAAGCCGATTGAAATTGTGGGGTTGCTTAGCTTGTAATAAATTAAATGAATGTTTCTCCTCTTTTTTTAGTTTCTTGTATGCCACTGCTTAGTTGGGGTGAAATCGTGGGGGCTCATTAGACAGACAATTTGATTGAAATGTTGAATGTTTTTATTTTAAAGTTTCCCACACAATTATGTGGATCTTATTAATATCTTGATGAAAGAGTTTTTTTCTTTCTTTTACGATTTATTGTTATTAAGATGCGAAGTTGAACTCAGTGGCATGACAGTCTGTTGAGGGGAGGTCTAAGGTCTACCGTATCCATCCCAGTTTTCTCGACCTTGTGCTTGGGTACAGGCGCAGATGTTCTAGTTGGGTTGGGTGAAAAGAATGCGGAGCCCTTAGTGTTTAGTCTCCAAGCATACTTGGTACTCATTTTATCAACCCTCTGAGTCAATTTTGCATGCTCCAAGAATTGAACCCAGTACCTTTGATATGGGAACACGAAGCATTACCTATGTCACATGCTACAGTTACTATCTGAATCTTTAAGTATAAAGCAGTCATGTCCAAGTAAAATTATAGTCTTACTGTAACTGTTGCAAGATATGCAGAAAATTTTGCGAAAACTACTCAACATACTTGAAACAGGCATTTTTTTTTTTTTACTTAAGTTCATTAAGAACCCCTTAACGATCGGTTAATTTTCAAGAAAACAGTCATAAAAGTGCCTATTTTTCTTTATACGTGTATTTGATTATTTCATCTAGTTTAAAATAAACTTTTGTAAAAAAATATACAATTACCTTAAAAATATCCTGGTACTGCCATCTGGTGTGTAAAATGAGAAATAAAATGTTTTCGGGCAAAAGAAACAAATTATTTTTTTTCTTATTGTCGCGTTACTACTGAACACTCTAGCCCGGGAATGTCACGTTTGCGAGAAATAGAGGGCGAAACCTCACCCCATCATTTTCACGGGAGTGAGAAGGAAGGGGTTAAGCTATTCCATAAATAAATTATTTTCTGAAAAGTAGGAATTTATAATTTTTATTATGTTTGCATCTTTCATAAATTATTTTTGCTGTGAATGCAATTTCATGTAGCCCTAATAGGCCTAATTTAAAATCTAATGTTGGTATCTCGAATTTTTTCTCCTCTCCCTTCAAGTTCGAGATATCGAGGTTTGACTGTATAAACATTAAAATTAAATCAACTGTATTATAAAGAGCCTTTAAAGCATTGCATGCAATTTTGCATTATATAAGTACAAACAGCATTTAAGGTATTTATATAACATACGTAAACAGAATCCAATTTAATATACAAAATATCTGAACAACATTAAAGTTTTAAAATATTAATATTGTTTATTTAACTTTGCATCTATCCAGCTTATTATTTGCCACAGAAAATTAATTTTTGCTGTTGAATTTTTTTTTAAATGATAATTAGTAAACGAAAAAGCTTATTATTTTAATCCAAAAGGAAGTTTCTTAAATAAAAAACAACTGATTTAATACACTTTTCTTTGAAAAATATACAAATAATTTCAATGAAAACTTTTAACATTTTACATCAGTGTTCTCTATATTTTTAGAGGGGTGACCCACTCTGCCTGCACTTTTATTTCTATAAATGTGTCCTTTTTGTAAAAATAAGCTGCCATCCCTTTAAAAATTATGGCCTTTTTTATTCATATTCCATTAAAAACAGTAATTCTGGGTTTAAATATAATAATTCTTATTATTATTATAAATGTTTACTTTGTTAAGGTTATTCTGAACTGGTCAAATTTTTAGAAGTTTCTCTTTTCTCAGGAAAGGGGCACATTAAGGAATTTTCTACTTATTTTTAAAGTAAATTGTTAAAGTGCTTTATGAAATAGTTTCAGTTAAATTATTGTATTGCTGCAAAAATTCTGTGTTTTTAGGCTATTATATATTTATTTTTATCCTGCTTAGGTGCCAATATGAGACTTATGACAAAGTACTTCCTACTGCAAGTGTTGTAATAATTTTTACCAATGAGGTGTGGTCTGCTCTACTCAGAACAATTCACAGCGTCATTAATCGTTCTCCGCCCCATCTTTTACATGAAATTATTTTAGTTGATGACTTTAGTGATAAAGGTAATTCATGTTACATCATTTTTAATTTTTTTAAAATTTTTCCATATTAAAATAATACAAAAGCCATATATCAAGGATCAGGGCATAAAAAACTAGATGATAACATAAGGTCTAACAATCGCATAAAACTATTACTGTAAAAATATAGATTCTATTAGAAATTAATATGAGAGCCTTATTACATTTGAAACTAATTTTCTTTACTTGGGTACATATGATAAAAATGGAAATAAATAAAATTATTTAATGTAAATAAATACTTTTTATTTATTTCTGTTCCGGCCAGGTGATAGAGCGATCAGTGTGCCTGACTGCAAAGCTAATGATTGCAGGTTTGAATTCCGCTCAGGGTTCACCCAATTCATGTGCGAATGGAGCCTGTGGCAATATGGATGTGTATCTGTGGCAGTATGGTGTGGGTAATGTTGATCTCCTCCGTGACTTAGGTTCACAGGTTGCCTAATGGGTAATGTTAAAAGAGCAACACTTACGGAATCTTCCCAGGGGAAGATGGGAGTTCAGTGCTTGCTGTAAAAAAATTTATTGGTATGTAGTTACAGGGTATAGTTAGAAGAAGCGTGTAGTTACTAGATTAGTAACGTTGTTACTTGTTATGTAAATTATAACAGCAAATTTATACAGAAGAAGAAAAGGTAGAAAATTAATTTTTTTTATTTACTACTAATTATTATTCAGATAGTAGAGTTTTTTATTAATACTGTACTCGGCAAAAGTGGTGATGTGATTGGAATTTCTTTTAATCTAAAACTGAAGGCTGGGCTAGTTTTATTAATTACTGTTCAAAGGACTGTTCGGGGCAAATTTACTGCCGTTTAGCAATACTTTCACAAATTCAATTTTAGGAAAAATGGTAGTTTCACAAAATATTTTTAATATATTTTCGAAAATATTTTCTTATTTTACCATATTTTTGTGTTGACTTTTTAATATAATTTTTAAATTTCACAAATAATGTCTAAATTTTCAACAAAAAAAAACCTTTCAAAAAAAACCTTGACAGATCCCTGCTGTTACAAGGTTGAAAAAAAAATTGTTTAGCTTGTTTTTCTTTCACTTATATTTTTATCATTATTTAAGATAGTTTGTAGTCCACTTTTTACTCGCAGGCTACCTGCATGGACACCTTCTCTTCCACATGTGGATGATTCTAACCAAGTGTGATAATTTACTGTAACTGCTACAGAAATCTAATATCATACAGTAAAATTATAAATTTTGTTTAAAACTTAATTATTGCCCTTATGTTAGTTTTTTATTGTTAGATTTTTATGCCAGGTGAAATCCTGGAATCAGAGACCTTAGCTTTGCAACCCAGTGCTCTGGTGTTATTTTTTGAAAAGTTAATTTGTTTATCCTTCACCTGTTTTGAGCTGTTCAGTCATCATTTGATGGTGATTTGTTACTTCATTAAAATTGTTATAATGTTAAATTGTCTGCAGTCAAGATGATAAATGTGAATTTACTAAAAAAATAAATTGTAGTTTTTATGTTTGTAAATAAACTTAAATATGAATTTATTGGTGAACAAGTTACTTATTTTTGTTAATTGTTTTCTAAATGAAAATAAGTATTTTATTTACGTTCTTTCTAATCATTTATTACATGGCATTCTTTTTTACTCTTTCAGATGAATTGAAATATTCTTTACAAAAATACATTAGTAAAGAATTCAAGCCCAATTTAATAAAATTAATCCGCTTTAATGAACGAAAAGGCCTGATTCGTGCTAGACTGGCTGGTGCTAAGCTTGCAACTGGAGATGTGCTGATTTTTTTGGATTCTCACTGTGAAGCAAATGTACAATGGTAAGTTTGTATTCAAAAGCAAGTCATTTAAACTAAATTGAAGTCCGGTAAGAAATGTTTCTCCATTTTTCACAAAAATGAAGATTTGATAGTCATCTGTTACATTTTGAGGATCACAGCATTTTGCAAATAAATAGTGTAAAAAATTGGTTCTTCCTGAGAGTTATTACACATGAAAGATGGGCTGTGGTAGGAAAAAACCTTTCCATTACTTCTGCGAAATTGTTTTTCTCTAAATCAGCTTTTATCGACATAAAATATTTCTTTCCCCATGGTCTTCAATTAAGATAATAAAGTATATATAAATAAAAAAAGAATAAATTAAAATATAGTTAATTGAAAAGTTAACTTTAAAATTCTAAGGTATATGTGTATTCACTGTGAGAAGTTTGTTTTGCAAAAGTATTAGCTGTCTTCTGTATTCACTCATTTGATGGTTTCTCATGAATTTATGCAATTTTTTTATTATCAGTTAATGCAATATTTTTTATTATAAATATTTTGTCAAAGTGTTATTTAAAATAATGTTTTCACAAAATAAAAATATTTAATTTTTCAGAACAAGCTATCATTAATTTTTCTAATTTTTTTAGTTTTTCATAATGTTACTTAATTTTTCACAGCCAGGAATGCTTAAAACAAAACTGTATTCTGTTTTATTAACATTTTCAAACCATTTGTTTCCCAACTCTTGTAACGATTTTGAAATACTATATTTTGTTTTAATATTATTTTCTAACTATTTGTTTCTAAACTTTTGTAATGATTATAAAAACACAATCACTTTATGACCAGAATTGTTTGCCCTTTCAAAACGCTTCACTTCTGCTTAAAAAAAAAGATTTTATTAAGTTATGTGATCTGAATGAAGTGTGATTTAAAAATGACATACTTACTAGAAACACAGGTTTAAGAACCAATCATTTTAAGAGGTCCAATCTAATTACAATAAGAAGAGTAATGGATGTAAGTTGGCCACTTGTATGATAACAATTTGATGGTCCACTTAGTCTAGTGATCAACGTGTAAGAGGAAATGTAATTGATTTTACCTGTTTTCTACTTTATTAATAAGGTCAACTTGGACAAATTATCAAAATACAGAAGTGGTCAACTCAACAGGTTACACTGTATTACTACTATGCTCCATATACGGGTTTTTCTTTTAAAACATATTCAAAACTAAAGATCTGGTTGATTTTGAAATAAAAAAATAATTATTGTTTTTAAGAAATATGTTTTCATCATTAAATATTGTTTCAATTTTCAAACAAAAGTGGATTTGCTTTTAAAATTTGCAGGTTGGAGCCTCTCCTTCAAAGAATAAAAGATAAACGAGATGCTGTTTTGTGTCCAATCATTGATGTTATTGATGATAAGACTTTTGAGTACTATGCAACGAATTTGGAGTATTTTCAAATAGGAGGTTTTACTTGGAATGGTCACTTCACATGGATTGAAATACCTGATAGAGAAGAGAGGCGTAAAAAGTCTGATGTTGAACCAACTAGGTCTGACACTTTTCTTTAGCTCTAGTTTTATATTTTAACTCCTTGCTGACTGATCGGGGAATCATCCCATTTTGTAAACTATCAGTATACAACCAAAGGGGAGATTGCTTTATTTGGCAAAAGTTAGTTGTTATGGTTGAAAAATGTGTGGTGTCTAGCTTATACCTACCTACCTATCCTCTTTGTGTCAACTGGCACATAAGGCCACAAGTCTCTTTTTCCCGGCACCCTTGCCTTGAGCCAGCTCTCATTCCTCCTCCCATTTAGTTTTGCACTGCTCATGGTGCATGTATCTTTGACAAGTAAATCTTGGCCTTCCTATATTGTGTTTTCCATCAAGTGCCTAAGTAAGTGCTATCCCATTTTGGACAGAGAGCATGTCTAGCTAAATTTTGGGTGCAATTCGGTTGGTCAGCAAAGTGTTATCATAAACCTATTTTATTATCCACCTGAGGGTTAACTTCGTTTTAATTTAAGGCATAAATTGAAAAGTATTGAAGGCATAAATTGAATTATAACTATAAGAAAATTTGAGATAATTTAATTTTAAGTCATTCATTCTTATTTGAAATCTTAATTTGAAAAGGGAGCCTAGGCCACCACTTTTCTTCATTTTTAGATACAGAGCCTCAAATTGTAATGAATGTTTTTCCTATTATTTTGCCTTATTTATGGGACTCCCAATTTATTTGTAAAATATAAGCATGAGTTGTACTAATTTGATAATAAGATAGAATTAATTCTTGTAAATGTGATAGTAATACTATACTCTGTTGCAAGTTGAGAAAAAAAACCATTATCCATATGGAGAGAGCCTGTTTGCATTCAAGTGCATGCCAAGCTCTCAGCACGAATGCATATCAACATCACCAACTCCTGAAAGGATGTTGCTCAGCTATCTATTTGCTTTCTTTCTTAAATCATCTAAAATAAGGAAAACAAAACTCGTTATTAAAAATTGTTTTGTTTCCCATAAAATTTGAGAGTTGTATTAAATAATACTTTCTGTTCGCATTTAGAGAAACTGATGAAAGAATAATAAATATTGTTTCTTACGGACAATTTTCTTCTGCAGCAAAACAAAAGTAAAAATTCTTTATCTCACATCTGATTTGCAGCATGAGATGCTCAACTTTTAGTTGTCCAATCAAATCCAATGCTCTTGCAATGTCATGTAGTTGTTTCTTTTTCAAGAACAAATGTTCTCCTTATTTATCAAAATATGTTGCCAAGTCTAGGATTCTAGACTAGCATTACAAAACTAGAACTGTTTTTTTAATAATTCTATGATATATATTATAAAAGATAGCAGGAATTAAATTTCTGACAGTGTGTTTAACTTTTAAAAGCATTTCTATTGCATATTTGTATTATTTATATATGATTGTGCTCCGAAAAAAGTCCGGAATTCCGGATTCTTTACTTACCGCAATCCAGAAGTTTCCGGAAATACAGACGGTTCAAGAAATCATCAATCTCATTAATATATAAAAATTCTTGTATATTTTATTTACAAATATTAGAACTAAAATTTATGCTTGGCATCTCTCATCATTTGTAAATATTTTTTCTGGTGGAATAATAAATGTGATTAGAGATAAAAGTAAACTTATGCATAATTATTCATTCAAATTATGCTGCATATAATTTATTTAGAATTTCATGTTTTGATATGTCAATGATTTAAACTTATAAAGACATTGATTTTTTGAAATGCATCATTAATGATTTTACCCTAGAAATTTTCAGGATTTTTGAGTTGGGCTCACAATCACACTTGATTATTTGNGAAATTCCGCATGATTTTTAAAATATCTATCTATATATTTATTTTAATACGATTATGATGTGTAAATTTCGAATTTGAGTAATCACTTTTCATATATATAAACATTTACGTTTATATAAAAATTATCATATTTGCCACTAACTTGACTGAATGAATCATGGTATATGACAATTAAGTCATTAACAAAATTTTAGTCATATTTTTTTTCTTATTTAGGCAACTATTTTCCTAGTTTTTGGCTACTATTTTCATGTTTTAGGCTACTAAAAGCAACTATTTTGTTCATTTTTTTCTGTGGCAACCCTGCATTTATCAAAATATGTTGCCAAGTCTAGGATTCTAGACTAGCATTACAAAACTAGAACTTTTTTTCAAAATAAATCTATGATATATGTTATAAAAGATAGCAGGAATTAAATTTCTGACAGTGTGTTTAACTTTTAAAGGCGTTTCTTTTGCATATTTGTATTATTCAGAGATGATTGCGCTCCGGAAAAAGTCTGGAATTCCGAATTTTTTACTTAGCGCGATCCAGAAATTCAAGGTCCAGAAGGATCAAGAAATCATCGATCTCATTAATGTATAAAAATTCTTGTATATTTTATTTACAAATATTAGAACTAGAATTTATACTTGACATCTCTCTTCATTTGTAAATATTTTTTCTGGTGTAATAATAAATGTGATTGGAGATAAAAGTAAACTTATACATAATTATTCATTTAAATTATGCTGCATATAATTTATTTAGAATTTCATGTTTTGAAATATCATTGATGTAAACTTATAAAGACATAAATTTTTTGAAATGCATCATTAATGATTTTACCCTAGAAATTTTCAGGATTTTTGAGTTGGGCTCACAATCACACTTGATTATTTGATTACAGAATAAAACAGAATTGTGTATGCATTTGCGGAGGATTACTTAAATCCTATACTGCAATGATCTTTTCTGAACTTGCTGCAGAGTATAACTGTTTTTTCAATAAGAGGATTGATAAGTTTTTTTTTTTAAATTTAAAGTATGGTTTGGCAATCAGACCTATTTTTTTTAATAAATAAACAATAAAGCTCTAAAATATTGCCTTTATTAATTTATCTAGAACACCTACAATGGCTGGAGGTCTATTTGCAGTTGAACGCAATTATTTTTGGGAAATAGGAAGTTATGATCCAGGAATGGAAATTTGGGGAGGAGAAAATCTTGAAATGTCTTTTAGAGTAAGTATTTTCTCTTCCTTTCTTTTTTGTTTTGAGAGTTGTTTTTTTTCTTAAAATTTGTTTAGAGTCATTTCTTATTTTAAGAGTAAGATAGCTGTATCATTTGGCTTTGTATTGTAAAACATTTGAACCTCGATTCAGCATTCCTGCATCTTTCGTTTTCCTGTATATATTGTCTTGTTTTGACCGTCCTGTTACCAGTGCTATTCTTATGATGCTAATAATACCCATTTAGGTTGTTTTTTAAACTAGCAGATGCCTGTGTTTATTATCCAGAAATTCTACCTACACTTGAAAAAAAAAATTTGTTATTTCGTTTGGAGAAGAAAAAATATAACTCTTTATGCTAATGATCAAGAAGAAAATAAGAATTTGTAACAGTTTGGAGGAAACATGTCAATTTTCCACATTTGATGTGTATACATTAATTGATAAAAATGTTGAAACTTGTGGTGTTGTCAGTTTAAGAAATAATTGCAGAAGCTGAGGAAATTCAAAGTGATAAAGATGGAGGCAAGCACTTGTAAGGACAAGGAACTTCCTGTATTCACAAAAACTTTCAGAAAATAAACAGCAATCTGTTACAAATGTTGCAAATTGATAGTTTGCTCACAGAAGAAAAAGTGTGAACCAAAATTTCCAAATATATTAAATAAATAAATGTGTTTATTCACCTTCTTTTACATCTTGAATGTTTTACCACATGTATATAGTTTTTTCAAATTAAAATGTTTTATACTTTTTGCAAATTTACAAATTTTCAAGTCCATTACTTCTTTATTGTTTTCCATGCATTTAAAATTTATAGTTTGGTATTTTATGCTGATCAGCATTGAGGATTTACTGTATTTCCTGTATTTTCCTCCATCAATGGTTTGACTTGCAACCATTCATATTGAATGGTTGCAAGTCAAACCATTGATGGAGGTTCTACCATAACAGGATTATTTAAAGCAGTTGTTCAAATTAATGATTTAGTAGCTACAGCATCTTGATTATGTGTCATAGCATTTGAGAATTGTGTAACAATGTATAAAAAAAGGAAGAAGATGTAGTAACTGGATATGTTATAGTAATATTATATACTAACATGATAAAATGACACAGTCTAAAAAAAAAAAAATCCTTCTTCGATGATCCTATCTTTATAATGTATAATAGCTGTTTTTAATAAAATTCACAAATTTCACTGTAAAAATAATTTTGTTAGTCTTTCTATTGTTGAAATATATTAGTAAAGAAAAAGCAACACATTACATAACTAATAACTAACACTATTGACACCTTAATATGCCACAGTTTGTTTTTATTATTTTAATAATATTTGAAATTTAGCATTTTTTTATTCACCATTTTGAAATCAAACATATTAGTTAGAATTAGTCATATGTAACTGTTTTTAATTACAGACTTGACACTCTTCTTCTATTTCTTTTTTTGAAGTGGTTTAAAATAAATTTTTTCACAATTGTTGTTTTCTAGGTTTGGATGTGTGGGGGGACTCTTGAAATCGTGCCTTGTTCTCATGTTGGTCATATCTTTAGAGGTTTTCATCCTTACAAATTCCCAGGAAATAAAGATACTCATGGAATAAATACAGTTCGAACAGTTGAGGTTTGGATGGATGATTACAAGAAATATTTTTACTTCCATCGTCCAGATCTAAGAGTAAATATTCAATTCTTTGTATTTTTAGTTTTTCATTAAATTTTATTTTGTTCTTAATGTATTAATCTAAAATATTTTTATCTTTAATTTAAAATTTTTTATTGTTAAAACAATGATTTTACGAAGCTTATTGCCATATTTTTTTCAGCTAAGTTATTTATTGTTTATTAGTTTCCACTTTGATGTTTTTTTTTATTATTTCTGCTGCAAGAACGATGAATTGCTTCTCAGAATATAATGATAAGCATTCTCCATCTCATTTTACTTGCAATTTAAAAGGCTTATTAAAAGTTTCTAACTATGTTTGTTTTGCAAACAGAAATCAGCAACAGAACTCTTGCAACAGAAGCAGTTTGAAACAGAAATCAGCAGATAATCTTCTTTATTATATATTCTAATATAATTTTGTTATTGTTTTTCTAAAGTTTTAACTTAAAAAAATCTATCAGTAAATGTATTATAACAATTTTCTATTACTAAAGAGGCTCTATTACACTTTTATATTATCATTTTTGCTATGCTATATTAACTTATGTTATATCTAACATTCGTCCCACAGTAGACTACTCGTAAGACACGGTTCTCAGTAGATCACTGCAGTCAAGCATCACTGGCAGTGGTCAGTGAACAGGTGGGTGAGAACTTTGATGAGTCTACAAAGAGACTGAGTGTGCGTTTTATTGGTCCTCATGAAATTGTTCTATCGTAAAATGTTCAACTTTACACACTGATTGTCTGGCTACCAAAAACAGAGAGCCATCCTCTTGTCTTTGCAGAGAATCTAAATTGCAATGGCATCACAATTTTGATGCACAAAATTGTGATAGCAATTTAGGGATGTTTCCCAGACCATCACTAAGAACACATAGTGCAGCTGCATTCCTGCCAAGTCTGAAGACTCCTTTATTTTTCGACAATCTCCTGTTTACCTGTATTATCTCAAATTTCTCTGTGTATTTGTTAACGAAATTAATTTTTTTTTTTTTGTCAATAAAGTATCTGCTGATGGAAAAATATTTCTCGTATTCCTCTGCAAATAGTGCTATTGTCAGTATTGGAGTATTTTGAAGACTCTCAGTGTAATAAATGGTGACTGATGAACGTTAAATTTGTTGAGTCACAAAGTCCTCCATGTTCTCAATACAAATCGATTCCTCTGGGGGTACTGATCCAGGAGTTTCCTTGTCTTCTGGATTGGATCAAAATTACAAGGGTACAGAGTTGAACATTAGTAGTTGTAAACTCAAAATTAGGTCGGTTGTTTAACATCTATTATAAAATAAAATAGTTTAAGTATTATAAATAATTATTTAAAAAAATCTTCTTTAGATTAAGTTTTATATACATATTTCTTACTTCCCTAACTGTAAGTGCTTATATTATTTTCAGTTTTGAATTTCTCTTTTTGACTTACGTGATGTATCAAAACTTTACTCGTAGCCTAAAAAATTTCGCTATTAAAATCTCGTTATTTTATTTCTTCAATGTTAGCAGGTATGCAGCTGTAGTACAACATAAATAAAGTACTATTATATCACATATTTAAATATATCACCCTTTGTTTGTCCCTAATAAGCATACTTTATTGTGAGACTACTGTATTTTTTTGTTTAGGATAAAATAATTCTTACATTTCTATGGATATGTCTGCATTGTGTGATTTGTATTTATAATTTTCTCTACAAATAATTATTGTAATGAAAGACTAAAACTGTTTTAACTTATTTCTATTAATCTAAATTAAGTAATGTGTATTATCATAGGAGATTGACTATGGTGACATATCTCATAGAATGGAATTGAAAAAAAGGTTGCAGTGTAAGTCGTTTGATTGGTATTTAACAGAAATATATCCTGAAAAATTTATATTTGACAAGAATGTGTTAGCGTATGGATCTGTAAGTATAATTTTATGTAGAATCTTGATATAAATTACTTTTTTTATTACATATTTATAATGAATGCATATACTATATTATTTAAATAATTTTTTTTTACATATTACTTTTTAAGGTACTAAATCTCTTTTGGACAATGTGTACAGTCCGCAAAAAAAAAAGATATCACCCTGAATAACTTTCGTTCTAATCATCGGATTTTCACAAACTAAGTATCAATCTTAATGGTTTCTGGAGGTGATTTCAAATATGCTAATTAATTAGTGCTAACTATTAATTAAGTTATGAAATCAGACACAAAAACGTACTTTCTCTGAATAAACATATATTTTTTTTTACATATTTGGAATCTAGACACTTGAATTAGGGGGGGTAGACAAAATTTTAAAACAATTGGGTCGTAAATTGGGTTGCAATAAAGGTTTATATATTTGGCGATAGTTCAGAAAACCGCCAAAAAAAGTCGCCTGCGCAAATCAATATTTTAAGATAACCCTTTGACTAATTCAAAGGAGGAATGCTTAATTTTACTAGGTTGCTAGGCAACCAAAATCTGACCTTAAAAAAATTGAAATAAAGTTCTGTGATTGCTTTAAGAGGTTTTATTAATTATTAATAGAAAACATCTCGAAGTTTCTAGGCAATAGACAATTTTTAAGCTGATTTCTGACCAAAAAGCAAAGAAAAAAAATTTCTTTTAATCCCCTTTGAAAAGAAAATTTGAATCGATTTATAAATTATTTATTACGTTCTGAGTTTTTAGTATTTAAACACATGAACTTTTCATCTGATATTATTTAGATTATGTTGTTTTTGCTATATTTATTCGAGGATTTCATACTAAAATCAAATTAACATAACTTATTATAGCTATATACAAAATTTTAGGGATTATCATTTTTGAAGGGAAAAAAAGTGCTTGAAAAATAAAATGTAGATTGTATAGTAATTCTAATGCACATTCACAGAGTTTTCTATAATTTACGATATTTCTTTTTTCTATAACTCAAGGAATTGCTGAATGTTTAGTG